GGGCCAGCGCCACACACGAGACAGCGCTCGTGCTTCTTCCCGCACGTGCGCGCTATCGGGACAGGAGCTTTGTATCTCTTTGGGGGCATGGCCCCTTTAATTTCCAGGTGTCCGCCCTCCCCTCAATGTTGGGCTAGACTTCCGCATGCTGGGTTAAGCCGCCATTGTGTGCAGCCTGCCTCCAAAGATCTATCAGTTCTACGAAATAAACAGTGTGATGACTTAGATTTTTGGCCTTAAAGGCTTTTGTGTTGGGCTGAGGAAATACTGCGCAAGTACCGCATTTCAGACAACTGTGAACGAATGTGAACTTCAAGCGCGTCTTTGCGATCGTCCTTGCGCCGCGCATTTCACTGACTGGCCCACAGACTTGTCACTGCCGAAGCGCAAGCGACAAACATCACTCGACTGTGGTGCCTCCGATGTCTCATTGTGGCGCCCCAGGAACTTAACTGCCGCCCCCCGCCCCTCAAAAAAATTTCCAGGATTTCGGCGAATTCATTTTCACGCTTCTTCTTCAATCGGGAAAATATCGTCCCCTGCGCATTGTGGAGGGCTAGACACAGGCAAATAGGTAAGCACATGCTGCACGCTCATGTTTTTTTTTCCAGAGACCGATAAATCCTTCCATTTCGGGGAAGACATGGCGAAACAAATTAAAGCTGCCTGGTAAATACCATCGAAATCAGGCATAGCACATCTCAAGTGACTAGCCATCGTCAACCTCGTACAACGAAACCAGCAGCAAGCTACATCATTGTAGGTCGCTAGCCATACAGTTAATGGCTATGCGCCGTTGGGACTTCACAAACTACCGAGACTTTATGGCGACACCTGCCCCTCACCCTGGCAGGAAGGTCGGGCACCGCGTGAAATCGCCACCCCTCAGCGGATCATCAAACATAAAAGCAGCAACGTGAACACGATATTTAATTATTAAGACTACTCAGGTGACATGTCATGCCGCGAATACTGAAATACTGGTGGTAGTAGTAGACAGCGGCGAATCAATGAAATTCGTTGACTTTTGACGTCAAGCAAACGGCCATCTCCTTGCAGTATGCAGCATGTTTTGCGTTAACATGACAGCAATTAAATCTTGCGCTGTAGGTTTTGAGTATCTTGAAGAAGTACATACGAAAATTGCTGACATTCACTGAGAAATGTGGCTTGGGCGATGCATAAACAAAGTGAGCCCAGGGCTTCAAAAAAGCCGAGGCATATTCGGTTTGCCGCGCTTCCTACAAGTGAAATTATTTTGCATTCGAAGGCAATTTTTTCAGACTACGCGCTTGCTGCAAACTGAGACGAAACTGTCAAAAAAGGAACTAACGTAGTGCAGGTCGTCGCGCCCAACTGATCTAGTGCCATCGACTGCAGGAGTCATATTAGTGCTCAGGCGCCATGTAGGTGCCGTGTTTCGAATATGGCTCCTACATGAGAGGCAAAGGCCTTAATAACTCGGCCACCACGCCCCGGCAAGAATAGATCGTAATCTTGTATGTCTGGAATTTTGCATCTCTACTTGCTCGGTCACGCCAGTACCCAGCCAAATACGTTAAAGGACATGCGCCGTTTCGACATGGTGAAGACGCATTTCTGTTGCTGCTGTCCTAAAAAAATGCTCATCATACACAACGTTTTGTGCATCTTAAAAAGATGACTGAAATGGCATGTCACTAACTAGGTATATGTGCGTTGCTCGTCGACCAGGCATCCATCCGTCGACCGTTAGCATAGTTACACTTTAATTCATAGCAATTTTTGCGGCACCAAAACAACGCAAATTATTTTTGTATTCGGCTTGCATATACATATCGGGCTTCATATGTGTGTATCATCGGGGCATTTATTTTACCCATACTTCAGCCTGGCATTTTTTATTTGCATTCGTTCAATTACGAGCCAGACCAGCTGCTAGTGTTGCACTACGAATGCAGCTTCTCACTGCTGATAGATGGATCTCACTGTAGGTATCGCCCAATGTAAAGCGTATATTGATTTTTTTCTTTCTGCCAAGGGCCTAAAAACAAAATGCGCGGACCAGAGGGATAATTAACCGCTTGTCATTGACTGCGCTTACCTGCCATATGGCCAGGGGCGCAGCTGGTCAGTAAGAGGGGGCATCGCGGGTAACAAAGGATTGGACTCCCTGCGTATGGAAAGGCAGCAAGTCCAATCCTTAACAGTGGTTCCTCCAGCTCTTTCTACACAACGACTACAGTCAGGGGCCTCACCGGACTTTCTCAGGGGCTTACGAATGCATGTATTGAGGGGCTCGTAGGGGGGGGGGGGGTGAGCACATCGGATATACTGAGGCCATGTCGCGCGTGATTGCTCGTCAGCGTATATCACAACAGGGCTCAAAATAGGCGTAGATATGTCCTTGTTCACCTGGGGCAAACCACTATTTCCTTCTAATTTATCATTGGAAAATCATATAGAATAATTTTAGGCATGTGCGTCTAACATCAGCATGTAGGCACACAACAATTGCGAGCGTGTCTAGGAGAAAGAACACCGGGGCTCGGCGGCACAGTCGCCTTGGTCCCCGCGGCGTCGGCACCGCGGTTGACATTTTGCGGGGTGAACAGGCGGGCGGGAACATGTACCGGATAGTGTTGTGCTTGCTCCTTTTGAAATTAATTTGTGTGCGTCCAGAGAGTAAGCTGGGTCGCAGATTTCGCCTGTGCGATTTTAAGACTGACAGTCAGAACAGATCAGCACGTGCAGCATCACGGACTTATGGCGCGATGGCGTAACCTCCATTACTCGCGCTGCTGTAACTGCTAATTCTGTTCAGACTTTCGATCTTGAGATAACGCAGGTCCGGTTTCGGGGCCAGGAGCTGAAGGACCCTCCGTCCAAGCCCGGGGCTCCAAGCAGCTGCTATTCTGGTGATACGGGGACCGGGGCGCTCTGGCCGGCCCGGAGGCCCTCAGAGAGATGCATGATACGCCGGCCCCGTCCCTGATACGGCAGGGCCTCTGGCCTCGGCATCTGGCACAGGATCGACGCAACGAGCGTCACCGACACAAAACGATGCCTTGTCGGCGCAGGGAGTCCGATAAGTGGCACCGAGATACAATTGGACATATTAGCCCCTGGATGAAACGACAAGGAGGGACACTCGCTCGATATTGAGTCCTTTAACCGACACATGGCCTGCTCACTGTCTATTTTGAGCGAGAACCCTTGTACTGTCATTTAACATGGAGCCATTCATTGTCAAGAAGGTATTGACCAGTGCAAAAGGCCTTTTGACATTCGGTGTCCGATTTCAGTCTCTGCTCAGCGAATTTACCCCTGGCTGATTTGGTGCCTATTGCCGACACGGGGTCCCCTGTTAGGTAGTCCAAGCCCCTTTCAGCACAGGGGCTCTCCGTTGTTTAAGGGGCCGACTAATCTAAAGGTTGCTGGTTAACGTCTACAGGCCCCAGTTCTGTCCCTTATTGGGAAAAGGGCCCCGGGCCCAGACCGGCGCGGAACCGACTGTTCGGCATTGATGATCTTAGTCAGCTAACATAAAGGCCCTCGCTGTCTCAGGGAACCCCCAATCGGTGCAAGAATTTCTCCGACTGACTTCCCAGGGCACGACTTTGACTGGGGTACCTTCATATGCCCCTGCCTTCCTTTTGGACTCACTAATCGAACGCTTGACCGCCGGCTCCGAGGGCTTAGGACCTCACATTGACCACGGGCTCCGGCCCTACTGATGAAGGCAAACTTGGTTCTTGGTCAAAATAGAGATTTGTGGTCAATCCGTGGGGCCCCTACGAGTTTGACATCACTTGAATTGAATGGTTTTGGGACGCTTTGTGGTGTCCTAATGGTATTCGGTGCCCACGACCACGACGCCCCGAAAGGAGGGCTCTCAATATTTCTTCACCGGGGGAGCCGGCCTAGGCTTCCATCAGGGTGGAAGGCACAGAAGTTATGCTGCCCATGATTTTTGGTGAACTATTTGGTGAAAAATGGAGATGTTGCGATCCTTGATATGACCCGTGTGGATTTGGCGTCTCTAGAAAATAATGGTACCCAAAAATGGACACATGGGTAGGCCATCGCCCAATGACTGATCCACGACTTTGTGAAATAGTCAAACCACGGATCTTTTGTTGGATTTTGCTACCTCTCGAAATGAGACTCTAGAAGCATTTGCAGTGTCCCTGGAATTGCGGCACATTGCCCTAGAATTGGAGAACAGTGCTCATGGTGTTTGAAAGATTTGTAAACGCAGATAAGTATGAATGCGATTTTGAACATCTTGATATAAACAATATTAATGACAGGTTCACATTCCACACATAGCAACTTCACCCCCACCCCGAAGTCTTTTGCATGATGTATCTGAAATTCCTATACGTGAGATAAAATAGCATCACAAATGGGCCCAAAGTATGACCACAGAATAAGGCAACCAAAAACTGTGAATCATTGCACTTGGTCAATGGGATGGGCATGGTTCACAGGCTGCCTCTCCCCCTTCCATAGAAAAAGGCAGAGTTCCACTTTTGCAAGGAATGCAGACCGCTGAGCGGCGTGCGGATAGCCCACATCACGATGGGTGAAACACTTAGCATGAGGGACATATAAAAATACGAACTTGGATTTGAAATATGTTTCCATTCTTGCAATTTGGAGTGCAATATTAACCACCTTTGCTTAAAAGAATGAGCATCAGGGCCAAACCAATATTGCAGGGGCTCAGTCCAACATTGGGGTAGCTGATAGAAACACGCTGGGGGGCATGGCCTATCAAATAAACAAAAAGTTTCACGTCTGAATATGACTGGTAGACTGGTTGTGTAATGTTAAACAAAATTGGAATACCAATTTTGGGCCACGTAATGAAGTCATGAATGCAGTGCCTGTACATCCTTTAATGTGGCAGCCCTCGAGAGGCCGCCATATCTAGACGCGGCTGTCGGTGATTGTGGCAATTCGGCTCGTAATGCGTCAATTCCAGCGCGCCGGCACTGCAGGGATTTAACGTTCACCGGTGTCGTCCAGGCCGGTGCCGCGTCTACAGGGAGGCTGGAGGGGGTGGTTTGGCCGGGGTGGTCCTGATAACGTACTTTTTGGAACACCCGTAATTTCAGGTCTGCAAGATGTCTGTGACCTACGTCAAGAAAAGCTTTATAAAGCTTTCCCATGCTAAGCAAGATACCTTGCTAAAAATGTCCATCTTGACAATCGCCGCTATCCTGGCATTTTCCAGTCGTCTTTTCTCTGTCCTTCGCTTTGAAGCAGTCATTCATGAGTTTGATCCTTACTTTAATTATAGAACCACAAGGTACCTTGCAGAAGAGGGGTTCTACAAGTTTCACAACTGGTTTGATGATCGGGCATGGTATCCATTGGGTCGGATCATAGGTGGTAAGTTATCTTGTTTCTAACCTGATTGAATGTTAAGAAAGTATAACACCCAATAATAGAAGCAGTTAACAACTTACATGGTCATTTCAGTGGCATCAGACATGCACAAACACAATGACATCAGATTTTAATATGGACATAGTCATGTCAGTATTATGCCCACAGGTTCTGAGTACTATGACCCAGTCTGATGTTTTATGTCGGACCCACTGGCAAATTTCATTATGTGATTCAGTGTGCATGTGTGATATTAAGTGTACATCTGCACAATACTACAACTCACATCTCAGAAAATAAAAAGGGGGCCAAGATGCATCAATGCTACCTTGCCACCTTCAATGTTACATTAACTTTTGAACTGGCCTAGCTCATAACAGGTCCCTTGCACTGAAATTTATAATGATCTGATGTAGGGGTACCTTTGTGCCCTGTTTGGCAAGGGCAGAAGGGCACATTTTTATCATGGTTTCTTCCTTCTTTTTTGCTTTAGCATGGTCAAGTTTTAGATAGGATGGAACAGTATTTTGGATAATAGGTGTGAGCATGCTGCAGTGAGGGTATCATAATTGCATATCTGGTTAGGGCTTAGCTGCTCTTTCTTTAATCACTGGTATATTATCAGAGAAAAAGTTCAATCTAAACATTGGGTTGTATGAACATCAGGATCACATTCACAGAAATAACAGAATGTCCAGCCTGGGCTGGTCAGCACCAGCCAGGTAGTTTGGGGCTATGCTGGTGGACATTGTCCCACTGAGCAGTCATTTGCTGCTGTTGCACCACCAAGATGCCACATTTACATCATGTTACTTATGCAAAAGAGCAAGGTCCTTCAGGCATGAAAACTTATTTTAAATGAGTTTTTTTCAAACCATGGAAAGAAGACTGGATTACCTTCAGGCTGAAGTCATTATGTATTGCTCATGCCACATACAATCACATTGTTGTTCTTGCCCTACAATTATGGATACATCACTTGTGACTGCATAGAGGTCATTGGGGGTCATCCCATGTTGGGCCCACCATGCCTTGACCACAGCTGGCCCACCTCTGCTGACAGGCACCATCTACCCAGGCTTGATGGTCACATCAGCAGTGCTCTACCACATCTTGCACTTCCTGCACATCACAGTGGAGGTGCGGCACATCTGCGTGTTCCTGGCGCCGCTCTTCTCCAGCCTGACTACGCTGGTGACGTACGCGCTGACGCGCGAGCTGCAGGATGCCGGCGCCGGCCTTGTGGCCGCCGCGCTCGTGGCCATTGTGCCCGGCTACATCAGCCGCTCTGTGGCCGGCTCCTACGACAACGAGGGCATCGCCATCTTCTGCATGCTGCTCACCTACCTGCTCTGGATCCGCGCCGTCAAGACGGGCACGCTCTTCTGGGCCACGCTCTGCGCCATCGCCTACTTCTACATGGTCTCCTCCTGGGGCGGCTACGTCTTCCTCATCAACATCATCCCGCTGCACGTGCTGACGCTGATGGTGATGGGGCGCTTCTCGCACCGTGTGTACGTGGCCTACTCGTGCGTCTACTGCCTGGGCACCATGCTGTCGATGCAGATCTCCTTCGTCGGCTTCCAGCCCGTGCAGAGCTCCGAGCACATGGCCGCGTTCGGCGTGTTCGGCCTCTGTCAGCTGATGGCTTTCGTCAACTACGTGCGCTCGAGGCTGAGCGGCGAACAGTTCGAGACGCTGCTGCGCAGCCTGCTGACGCTGTGCGCCGCACTGCTGGTGATGCTGGCCGTTCTGCTGGCCGCCACCGACAAGATCTCGCCGTGGACGGGGCGCTTCTACTCGCTGCTGGATCCGTCGTACGCCAAGAACCACATCCCGATCATCGCGTCCGTGTCGGAGCACCAGCCGACCGCCTGGAGCTCCTTCTACTTCGACTTTCAGGTGCTGATGTTCCTCTTCCCAGTCGGCCTCTACTTCTGCTTCTCGAAGCTGGACGACTCGCGCGTCTTCATCATCCTGTACGCGGCCACCAGCCTGTATTTCTCTGGCGTGATGGTGCGCCTGATGCTCGTACTAGCGCCTGTCATGTGCATCATCTCCGGCATCGCCGTCTCCAGCCTGCTGACCATCTACATGCGCGAGATCGTCACGATGGACCGGGCCGCCGCCGCCAGCGGCCACGACAAAAAGCGCTCCAAGTTCGAGGGCAACTACTTCTACCGCAGCGAGGTGGCCAACCTCTTCGTCTGCATGATGGCCGGCATGCTGGTGTTCTACGGCTTCCACTGCACCTGGGTAACGTCCGAGGCGTACAGCTCGCCCTCGATCGTGCTGTCGGCCAAGTACGACGGCGAGCGCATCATCTTCGATGACTTCCGGGAGGCGTACTACTGGCTGCGACAGAACACCCCCGAGGACGCTCGGGTCATGAGCTGGTGGGACTACGGCTACCAGGTCTGTCGGACAGGATCGCGGCACGGTTTGATGTAGACTTTCCTAGGCACCAGGCTGGTCAGACCTGGGTTCCGTGTAACCAAGCAGTTCACACGCCCTAAAACCCAAATAGGCGTCATTCAGGGTATATTATTGAGAGTGCACGACGTTCTCAACATATATCAAGTGTTTCAGTTGTAGAGAGTACAGGCGTTCTCAACATATATCAAGCGTCTCCTTCACGCGTCATTTGTTTCCGTGACCGAATCTGGGTGCTGCTGTTTCCATGTTCGTGACTATTTCCCGCACTACCCGCTTCGCTCTGCGGTGGGGGTCGCCGCCAACGACGAGCCGTCCGACGCGTGGCCGAGCTCATCGGTGACCGAGACGTTCGTGTCGTCCCACAGATCACGGCCATGGCCAACCGAACCATCATCGTGGACAACAACACCTGGAACAACACGCACATCTCGCGCGTGGGTCAGGCCATGGCCAGCAGCGAGCAGCACGCGTACGGCATTATGCGCGAGCTGGACGTCGACTACGTGCTGATCATCTTCGGCGGCTTCACCGGCTACTCCAGCGACGACATCGCCAAGTTCCTCTGGATGGTGCGCATCGGCGGCTCCACCGACCGCGGCGCGCACATTCACGAAAAGGACTACTACACGTCGTCGGGCGAGTTCCGCATCGACGCGCAGGGCTCGCCCACCATGCTCAACAGCCTGATGTACAAAATGTGCTACTACAGGTGGGTTCGCCGCGGCGGCTGTCCCCGTATGGTGCCGGCCCGCAGCTGGGACGACATCACCTGTGCGTGCGGGTTCGCGGGCTTGCTGTTTCAACCGGACGTGATAGGTGCCGTCAGACTAGTCCGCATGGTTCCTGTGAGTTTAATGTTAAGGAGCCGTTGCGTGCACACCGAAATCGCCCCCAAAGAAGCCAAGTTTAAGTGGTGGTAGTTAAAGAAGTTGAGGTAGTTTAAGTAGTAGTTTAAGTAGTTCAAGAAGTAGTTCAAGTAGTAGTTCAAGCAGTTGAAACAGTAGTTAAAGTAGTTTAGGTAGTTGAGTTTAAGGAGAACTGTTGCGTGCACATGGAACTCGCCACTTAAGAAGCACTGATCCAGTTCAGCTGGTGTGCTTTTCTTCTACCTTGGTAGCCGGAGTGGGCCGGTGGGTTCCTCTTCGAGCCATAATGACCGCGGCGCGGGCTTCGCGCGTCAGATTCAGCTCCGTTGGCTGGGTGCCAGCTGACATTTCATTCCGGTGGGGACAAACAATGCGCATGTTGTGGGTCTGGTACCCAGTGTGATCGGTTTACGTTGAAGTATCTGCGGGACCGCGACGACGGCTGGAGTCCGCCGGTGGCAGCAGCCGCCAGTGTCTGGGCCAGGTTTTTACAGACTCAGCTTTCAGAGGTGGTTCCGTCTTGGCATAACACAAATCTACGAGCAAAAACAGGTCCCTGAGGTCAAACGTCTAGTGTTTACCTTACGCTAAGCTGCCTGAATTACATGTTTTTTGATCGAGCCGGCCGTCCGGCTGGAACCGCGTGAGGAACTGACGTGATTCTGTGCCGGCAGGTTCGGCCATGTGTACACGGTGCGGGGCCGGCCGCCGGGCTGAGACCGCGTGAGGAACTGACATGACTCTGTACCGTCAGGTTCGGCCAGGTGTATACGGAACGGAGCCAGCCGCCCGGCTGGGACCGCGTGAGGAACTGACGTGACTCTGTACCGGCAGGTTCAGCCAGGTGTACACGGTGCGGGGCCGGCCGCCGGGCTGAGACCGCGTGAGGAACTGACATGACTCTGTACCGGCAGGTTCGGCCAGGTGTATACGGAGCGGGGCCGGCCGCCGGGCTCGGACCGCGTGAGGAACTGACGTGACTCTGTACCGGCAGGTTCGGCCAGGTGTGCACGGAACGGAGCCAGCCGCCCGGCTGGGACCGCGTGAGGAACTGACGTGACTCTGTACCGGCAGGTTCGGCCAGGTGTACACGGAACGGAGCCGGCCGCCCGGCTGGGACCGCGTGCGGAACTGACGTGACTCTGTACCGGCAGGTTCGGCCAGGTGTACACGGAACGGAGCCGGCCGCCGGGCTGGGACCGCGTGAGGAACTGACGTGACTCTGTACCGGCAGATTCGGCCAGGTGTACACGGTGCGGGGCCGGCCGCCGGGCTGGGAACGCGTGAGGAACTGACATGACTCTGTACCGGCAGGTTCGGCCAGGTGTGCACGGAGCAGGGCCCGCCGCCGGGCTGGGAACGCGTGAGGAACTGACGTGACTCTGTACCGGCAGATTCGGCCAGGTATACACGGAACGGAGCCGGCCGCCCGGCTGGGACCGCGTGCGGAACTGACGTGACTCTGTACCGGCAGATTCGGCCAGGTGTACACGGAACGGAGCCGGCCGCCCGGCTGGGACCGCGTGAGGAACGCCGAGATCGGCAACAAGAACTTCGAGCTGGACGTGCTGGAGGAGGCGTACACCACTGAGCACTGGATCGTCCGCATCTACAAGGTCAAGGACCTGCCCAACCGAGGCTAGGTGGCGACGTGGAGCGGTGCCGGCGAGGGCCGGGACGGCCAGTTACGGCTCGCTCAGAGTGATGCTGCGGGGGCGCTCGACAGTGACGAGAGTACAGATATCCGTGATTGGGTGTAAGCTAAGGTGATGTGTTGTTGTATGGGATATGCCGTATATTTCTAAGATTCGCCGTTTCGTTTTGCTTGCTCGAGTGTTCACGTGACGCTTGCTTTGCTTGCTTTTCCACTAGGACTAGAGGGTGCACTGAAGGCCTTATCCATGCCGTCTCCCAGCCAGCTTGTTAACCAGATGAGGTTGGCCTCCCCACCTGGACTCCTCTTCGTCGCATTTGAACCATAGCCTCCAGCCCTGCCCGTTTTGGTTTATCGCCCCGACCGCTGGGCCATTTGTCCACCCCAGTTGCGAAGGGCCCGTCTAGTGGCTCGTGCCGGCGGACGTGGCGACGGCAGCAGGGGTGTGGCCGGTGCCCTACGGAGCAGCGACGTGACATCTCGCCGCGGCGGTGCTCCTCCACCTGACAGCATATCACGCTCCCTCTGTCTCCAGATGTGTGTCATGTTGCACGGCTTCTTTCAGTGATACGATTCTGTTGCGCTCGCGTATGATCGGCTTAGATAAGTGTGGCTCGAGGCGAGACTGTCGGTGGCTCCGGGCGCGGACCCTCGCGCGTGCTTAGTTTGGGGGTGGGGCGCAGACCGAGCGGCATCACGCTCTCTCACTAACGTCCGCTGAGAGCTCGCGGCCCGTGGCGGCGCACGGGCGCGCCTGGTGATTATTTGCTGCACACTCGCGCCGGTGTGGAGCGCTGCAATGAGGATGGCGGGCACGTTGGATGGATTGGCGCGCGGTGCGGCCGTGCCCTCGGGCGTTCCCGCGGGCGCCCGCATCGGAGTCAGCACTCAGGCCGGCCCTGCCGAGTCAGACCAGCGCTGGGTCATGCCTGCACCGCTGTCACACTCCTGCCACTGTCCCTGGCCACGACCAGCCCATTGTTCGGGGACAGCTCACTCGGTCGGCCGTGTGCTCCTTCCCTCCCCTGGACTCTCCCTGGACCAGACGCCGCGGGACCACCTCTGTCACCGTCTGCTTGGAAGTGGCCCATCGGCAGTGGGGCAGCCGTCACCCGGTGACAGAATGTGTGCGGTGTTCACGGGCTTGCCGAGACAAATAAAGCGGCTTGGCGGCCGGGAGCGTTTGGTTTTAGGTGGCGGTCTGCACGGACGACTATGAAAACAACTTCGGTCGAACCAGTTGTGATGTTGCCGTTCATGGGCCCACCGACACATTTCTGAGGCACGTATGTGAAAATTTAGGCTGTGCGGCCCCTGATGACGTGGCACTATACCTACTCTTGGCTTGCCTCCCACGTTGTGATAGTTTTAACGCAGGGTCAATGGGGGGGGGGGGGGGGGGACCACATAGGAGTGCGTTGGTTGTGGTGTCGTTTCAGTTCATGGTGTTTCGGCGGGCCAATGCCAGTTATGGCAATACTGATCGTATGTATTTTCGTGGGTGGTGTTTGGTGGGACCAGTTTGGTTTCATAGGGGCGATAGGGGAAAGCCGCCCCGCTCTGGGCTGGACACAGCGTGGCAAAAGGTTCCATATCGATATGTGGGAAGGGGTGGGGCGGAAGTAATTGTGAAGTTTCGGAAGTTACCGAATTTCAGCCGCTCGGGATGTTGCGTGTTCATTTGAAGGAGCTCTTGCCCCCCCCCCCCTCCCACGCCACAAGTGATTTTCCAAAACCACGCGCCTGCACCCACTGGCTATGCGAGCTTCAAGTGACTCCTGAATATCCACGCTTAGCGGCTGGGCTTCTCAAACACAAAAAAAAGATCGTTTCCAACATCGTCATTTTGAGTACAAGTCACGCGTTCCCAACCGCTGCCGACTGCCCTGACGCTTCAACATGCAGAGCCGTGTCCGTGGATGCTTGTATGCTGTGCGTCGGCCCCGCAGTGGGTTTGGTGCCAGTCCCAAGGACGCCGGCACAAGTCCGCAGTGCTCATCTTAGCAGGACACTTGCCAGATACCGTCGTGCCATCCCTCGGCAGGCCAACGCACGTAGACGCCACGCAATCTCCACTCCCCCCCCCCCCCCCCTCCCCCTCGTTAGCTGCGTTTCGTCGGTAGAACCAGTTTCAGTGTCGTGACTTTAACTGACAGTTGCGTGATCGCGCCGGCGCCAGGTGACGTCTGCGTCGGTCGGCGACCCGCGCCGCCGCCGCGCGTGGACCAGCACCGGTTCCACCGGCACCGTCGGCCGCTCGCAGTCACGGCACCCGCCGCTCCGCAGCGGTAACGGCGCGAGCTGGTCCCACGTGCTTCGCCCGTGTGGTAGGCTGCGGCGGGCCGGTCCAGCTCTGTCCATCGGCTGACAACAGGGGCCATCGCCGCCACTCGACCCGGGCTGGTCATGTCTTCACATGGAGTCGGTCAGAGTGAAGACATCATCACCGCCACTCGGCCCAGGCTGGTCATGTCTTCACATGGAGTCGGTCAGAGTGAAGACATCATCACCGCCACTCGGCCCAGGCTGGTCATGTCTTCACATGGAGTCGGTCAGAGCGAAGACATCATCACCGCCACTCGGCCCAGGCTGGACGTGTCTTCACATGGAGTCGGTCAGAGTGAAGATACCATCACCGCCACTCGGCCCAGGCTGGTCATGTCTTCACATGGAGTCGGTCAGAGTGAAGACGCCATCACCGCCACTCTGCCCAGGCTGGACGTGTGCTCACATGGAGTCGGTCAGAGTCACGGCACTGAACGGCTGGCTGCCGAGGCCACCTGCTCGAATTGGCAAGCGGCGCAGCCGATCTCAGTCCCTGCTCTCAGTCCCTGCTCTCAGTCCCTGCCTGTTTTCCGCATCCGCCATGCGATGTCCCAGTCATTACATACAAAGGCGCCCACCCAAACCTTGTTTTCAGCACGGTGCGCGCACGTCATGTAAACTCACCGTCTCCAATGCCTGACCCGGCTGGTTTTTATGGGCGTCGCCGGTGCTTGGCCGCTGGTGCGGCATCGCCGCGCCTTGCTGCGGTGCCCTCCGTCGGCGCTTAGTCAGCTGGACTGGTCGACACGGCCGCCGCCTGCAGCGTCAGCGTGATGTGTGCAGTCATGCTAACGCGCATCAGCAAATCATGTTTAGTGCCACGCAACCGCGCACCGACAAGGCGACCCCGCTGCCGACAGCGCCCGGATCCGTGCGCCGGTCTGGTGCTCTCCCAAAAGCCGCCATGGTAACGACAGTGAACTTCAGTTCTGTCCATCTGCTTAAAAAATACAGAAAGGCCTCGGTCTTTGGGAAAATATACATGATTCATACCAAGTCACATTAATGAAACGGTGGCGCGTGGGCGCACGACCACAACAGGTGCCCCGGCGTGATCTGGCTCGGTACGCCGTCGTATTTTCCCAGCAAGAAAAGACAAGATCAAGATGACAAATAACACCAAGAGACGACCGAACATCAGGCGGAACGAGCGCAACATCTGAAGGTTCCAACCTTCATGGAGACCGCAGTGCCTGGCTGGTTCGCCATTCTCAACGCTCGGTTCAACCTCAACCAGGTCACCCAGAACGCCGGATCGGCGACACCTGGCCTGCCACTCATCAAAGTCGCAGCCCAAGTCGGGAAAGTTGGAATGGGCCTCATCGTCGCCACCGGCGCATCCACCTCGCTCACCCCGACGCAACAACTCGCCGGTCATCACGTCGACCCTAGCGCCATCGGCCTGTCGAGCGCAGGAGAGCGCATTGCCACCCACGGTGGGGAGCCTGATCTTTCTCGATACCCAACCTCCAATGCGAATTCCGCTAGACCTTCGTCATTGCTGACGTAACCTCCACACTGCTTGGAAATGATTTTCTATCCCACTATTCAATCCTCAACTGTGCTAGCGGATCCCTCGTCGACTCCACCACCTCGCTGTCAACTAGCGGTGCTCCGATACCTTCCCAAACGGCGTGCCTCGTGAACGACCTATCTCAGCAGCATCCATCTGTTCTATCCCTGCTCGCCGAGCCTGCCTCCGTCCTAAAGCCATGTCAACCGAGCAAGGAGTCTGAGCCGAATGCCTCTGCCATCGCGACGTCGCATCACATCGACACCGCCAGCCCGCCACCAACCCTCGCAAGCCCGAGGAGACTACCGCCTGACACACGTGACGCCGCAAAAGGAGCACTCAAGACTCTGCTCGACAGAGGAATCATTCGTCCATCTGACTCGCCCCAGGCCTGGCCATCACATATGGTGCCGAAGTCAACAACAGGAGAATGGAGAGTAACCATAGGTTATCGGGCCCTTAACTCCAACACTAAATCCGATCGCTGTCCGATTCTCCGCATCCAAGACCTCGGCGCACACCCCCATGGAAATAAAATATGCTCCAAAATCGACCTCCTCCGTGTTGATCACCAAGTGCCTATGAACCCTGATGACATAGTGAAAACCGCCGTCACCACGCCCATGGACTCGTTCGAATACCTGGGCATGCCGATGGGTCTTCGCAACGCCGGGGCAACCATCCAGAGAACCATGGACTTCACCTTCAGGGACTGCAAGTGCGCCTTCGTCCACCTAGACAATCTCCTGATTCACTCGGAAGACGAAGGGCAGCATGTTCAAGACCTCAACACAATGTTCTAAAAATCGCTGAAATCGACGACCTCAAGACGCCAGCCACACCAGCCGAACTTCGGCGGTTCCTGGGAATGGTCGGTTTCTATAGGTTATAGGTTATAGGTATAGGTAATGCTTGCCCAGTCCGCTGGCATCGCACATCCGCTCATTTGAATTGAACTCATTCGTCTTGATCCAAAGTCCGCAGGGCTTCCCTGGACTAAGACAGAGACAGACGCCTTCAACGCTGCAAAAGTAGCCCCGCAGGACGCCTGTCTCCTTGCTCATCAGGTCCCTGTTTGTGAGAAATACCAACTCATTCTCCCGAAAGCTTAGCCAGTCACAGAAGAAGCACTCCACGTACGGCCGAGAGCTGCTAGCTGCATACCTCGCCGTCCTTCATTTCAAACACCTGGAAGGCGGCACCGTCACCCTGATCACCGATCACAAACCTCTGATATCCGCATCCGAAAGCCACCATCTCGCCAAGACTGATCGCCAGCAACGCCACTGGAATATCATCCTCGAGCACCTCGCCGACGCCGAATATCTCCGGGGAGTGGAGAACATCGCCGCTGATTTCATCAGCCGCTCCACTCAAGCAATCACCGTAGACTCCCTCGACCTGAACGCCATCGCCGAGAAGCAGGGTAAAGATCAGGAAGTCATTGTCTACAGGGATCGCCTCAAGCTCTACCCTTAACTCAGTGGCAAAACCCTGCTAAGCGACACCTCCACGCCTCATCCGAGGCCGTTCCTTCCTTTCGCCTGCCGCCGACCTATCTTCGACAAATTCCACGACCTCTCGCACCCTGGAGTGGAAGCCACCCTTAAACTCCTGACTCAGCGCTACTGCTGGCCTAACATGCAACTGAAATCCGAAGCTGGATCCGAGGTGTCTGCACTGTCAGGAAGCGAAGTCCATCGGCATGCCAAAAATCCCTTCAAATCCCTTAACAAACCCTGTTCCCGATTCGAGATCATGCACATCGACATCGTCGGTCGTCTTCCTTCATCACGAAACCGAAATAAGACCTACATCTCGCCCGATCGCTTCCTCCTCACCTGTGAAGACAGGGCGACCCGATGGATCGAAGCTATCCCGCTGGAGCAGGTCACAGCCTCGAACGTGGCTGCTGCCTTCATGGAAGTCTGGGTGGGCCGTTTCGGCGTTCCACTCGAAGTGAGCACGGATCGTGGTTCACACTTCGAAGCCGAACTCTTCCCCCATCCGTCGGGATCCTAGGTTTTCATCGCATCAGGACAACAACCTAACACCCGCAAGCCGATGGTATGGGGAAAGACTCCACGGCACCCTCAAGACCGCCATAGCCGCCGACAAAGAAGAATGGCTACAATCATTACCTACTGTTCTCCGCAACATCAGGACCATCACAAGCGAAGACAACCTATCCCCATTCACCGTTGTGATCGGCACTCATCTGCTGTTTCCGAAGATCGCCGTCCAACCGCAGTCATCTCTGTCCCAGCACGCCTATGTCCGTCAACTCGTCAAGCACATGACAAATCGGCTTCGCAGTACTCTTTCAGGGCCATCATCACGC